TCATCATCATCATCACCATCACCATCATCAGCATCGTCATCATCACAATCATCACCACCAGCAGCATCATCAGCATCGTCATCATCAGCAGCATCGACATGATCATCACCACCACCATCATTCATCAGGCATCATACCTCATTCATCAGCATCACTGTCATCAGCAGCAGCAGCATCAACATCATCATCAGCAGCATCAGCATCACCAGCAGCATCAACCTCATCAGCAGTATCATCATCATCCTCACCCTCATCATCCTCATCCTCATCCTCATCCTTCTGTTTACGTTGCGCGTTGTGGCGTTCTTCTCCCTCCTCCTCCTCCTCCTCCTCCTTCTCCCTCCCTCCTCCTCCTCCCCCCTCCTCCTCCTCTCGAGAAGGATCGAGGACCCATGGTCTACTCCTGGAAGGGGAGGGGAGGAGAGGGAGGGATGGCTCAGCTCCGCCAGTGCTGCGGGGGCCGCGCGGGGCTGAGACGCTGTCGACGAGGACGTGGCCAACGCCGCCGATGCCGACGCTGCCGCCGCCGCCGCCGCCGTCGTCGTCGTCGTCGTCGTCGTCGTCGTCGTCGTCGTCGTCGCCGTCGTCGTCGTCGATGCGGCCAGCGCCATTCAGGCGTCCCGACGAAGTAGCCCACGACGGAGGCGACGCCCAGGAGACCGCGCAGCGACAGCCAACCCCGCAGCTCGGGGGGCCTGCGGGGAGGGGTGCGGCGCGGCTGCGCTGCTCCACAAAGGTGTGGGGGGAGATCGTGCGACGCTGAAGAGGACGAGGATGGGCGGGAGGAGCAGGAGGAGGACCACTGCAAACCCAAGACCAATCAACATTGTTGCAATAAACATTCCCTCCAAGTTCCTTTTGTCATGGGCTCCTACAAGGGTTTGGTCTTCACTGCGGGAAAAACCCGTCGGATGACAACCGTTTGAAAATCTTCAACCGTGCCAGAGCACTGTTCCTGGGACAACAACGCCGCGAACCGACGCCAATGTTGCACCTGACGGTCCTGAATCGTGCCACAGCACCGTTTCTGGGACGCCAACACCGCAAAACAACGTGAACGTCGCGCCCTGACAATCGTACATCGTGCCCGAAGAGCCGTTCTGGAACGTCAACTGTAATACTCCTCGAGACTGCTGCAAACTCTTAAGACGTATATTTGCGGCGCTAAGGCGAGAGTCACATGTTGCAAAAGGACACCCTCCACCCGTGAAGCTCGGAACTGTTCAAAACGAATGTGCGCGGCGCTGAAGCGAAGACCACATTTTGAAAGCAATCCTCCCTCCATCCGTGAAACTCTTGCAACTTTTTACAGCGAGTGTGCGCGGTGCTGAAGCGACAGCCACATGTCCGCCCTCCTTCCGTGAAGCTCTTGCAACGTTTTAAGACATGTGCGCGGCGGTAAGGCGAGAGGCACATGTTGAAAACCACCCGCCCTCCATCGGTGAAACTCTCGCTGCAAGTGTCAAGCCTCAAGATCTTGGATGGTGAAGAAGTCCGAAACAGATCGCCCGACCCGCACTACCGACCCGTCTCGGGGTGCGACAGGGAGTTGTTCATGAGAACGAGGGATGGAGGAAGAGGAGGATGAAGAAGAGGAGGATGAAGAAGAGGAGGAGGCGAAGGAGGAGGAGGAGGAGGAGGAAGAGAAGGAGGAGGCGGAGGAGGAGGGAGAGAAGGAGCAGGAGCAGGAGGAGGAGGAGGAGGAGGAGAAGAAAGAGGGGGAGGAGGGCGGGGGAGGAGTGCAAAACCGTGCGCCGCCAGGGATTCTGCTGGATTCCGCACCACGTCTACGACGACCTCCTCCCCCCTCCCCCCTCCCCCCCAATCTTGCCCTCCGCCCCCACCAGCACTCCTACGCCCTCCCGCCACGCGCGCCAAAGGAATGCTGCGGCGGGCGACCCCCCATCCTCGATCTTCGGGAGGACGGAGGAAGGGGAGCAAGTGAAGGAGCGGGGGAAGCTCAGGAGGGATCCGAGAGCCCCCGAAGCCCACGCGGGGCTGCCGCTGAAAGTGAATACGCGCCGACAATGAGAGGGTAGAACAAACCCTCCTACCCATCTCCGAGGCGCGCAAACATGGATTGGCGATCCATGGATTTGGCGCGCGGCCACCAAATCCATGGATCGGGGGAGGTGCCCTCCC